ATATCCTTTTGCCCCAGAGAAAGAGCGCTTCGAAGACATTTTGCCCAAAAAGCTGAATTTTTTAACTTATCCCCAAGCCGATGTTTAAGAGATGAAATGTCATGCAGGATCTCTGGCGTGGGTGAGTCCAGAAGAAGATCCATGAATTTACAGAACCTTTCTAATTGAGCCTCATATCTGTATGCACCAAAAATGGAAGATTTTAAGATACTCACGTTTTATCTATTAAACATAGTCAAACAAGTTTGAGAATGAACAAAAGTGTGGTTAATAGAAGATTCGGATTTTAGATACAGTAAACAACTTCAAACATATTGAAGACTTAACTAAGTTAGTCAATAGACAATGTCGCACAGCCCAGTCATCTTGTCTGGCATTCTATGTGATCATTCGAAGTTCATAAGCCTATGTATTCCTTGCTATTCTTAGAAAATGTAATTCTTACATCACTCTTTCTCAATTGGTGTCGATTATGCAAGAAAGAAAACGAATTACAAAGCCACTTGTTTATGTAATGTACATACGCTCATAATTTTTGGACAACTCACATTTGCTAGGGAGGTAAAGGAATTTTTAGATATGGCCTTAACGTACCTCCTTTTCAAGAATGCAAAAGCCCTATTGTGGAAAAATTTCATCATAGCTTTCTTTTGGAATATGTGGAAAGAAAGAAATCAAAGAATATTTGCAGAAAAGACACAGACGTACACAAAACTTTTCAACAATGTTGTTTTCCAAGCTATATATCGGTGTAAACGGTCAGAAAAGACACAAAGCTACACAAAACTTTTCAACAATATTGTATCCCAAGCTATATATCGGTGTAAACGGTCAGGAAAGTCTTTGGTAAACACCATGATTATACATCCTTTTGAAAATTTCAATCATTAATGTAACTCTTACTCAAACATAAGCCCAACATTAGAGCTGCTTTGGCATTAGCGGATCAATAATACAAACATGCAAGAATGGAAGGATCCAGACCTGGGATAAGCGTCAGCGTCTCGTTTGGAGAACTTGGAAATTTCTGAATAATTAAGATCCTTATTAGGACCTAACAAAAGATATCGCCCATCCAAACAAGGAGTAAAAGATGATGGATTCCTCTTTAAAAGCTTTAATCCGTGCCTCGCTAGCTCTAATTCCCTGACCTCCATTAGAGATGATTTTTAAAAAAATGATCGATAAGTAAACTCAGTGACTTGAACGAGGAATGAAAAGCGAACAAACGGATTAGATTATAAAAACAGTTAAACCGACTTGATGACAGATGGACGGAGGAGACTCTGTAGGTAACTGCACCGGGAGAATTTAAAGCCGGGGATGAGTTCTTCAGTCACGGCAGCGCCACCGAGTACATGGCGTCGCTCAAGTACTGCGACGGAGAGACCGCCACGAGCTAGGTACGCAGCAGCGGTAAGGCCATTGTGGCCACCGCCGATTACCAATGCATCCCATTTCTGATTCTTCAAGACGGCCGCAGATCCGGCGGCGCTGCTGAAACTCCGCCGCCACATTGTTTGCGAGAGTGTGACTGTGGATTGATGAGGAACAGAAATGGAGATAGAATTCAGTGGAATAGTTTGCCGCGAAAATGAAAATGGGGATGAGAGAGTAGCTGCCGGGGAGTAAGGGAATAAATGTTTTAAGGGTATAACGGTAAAACAATTTATTTTTAAAATATTTAAAACCTATTAAAATTTTGTGAGTTACAAACACATTAACGAAATTCAAATTATTTTGATGCAAAATAGACGAAACTATGGTTTTTTGTTCTTCAACTAAAACACAATCTTAATATAAAATACTTTTTTTACGGGTGTACATTCATCCCGACAGCCCGGACCAACTCAACCCAACAAGGGTTGGGTTGGGTTGGATTCATTTTTCTGAACCCGAACTAAATCGATTAGGTTTCGGGTTCGTGGGTAAAACTCTCGATTTTTTTTTTCTTTTATATATATATATTTTTTAAAAATACCTTACTAACAAACCATTATAGGTTCATAAATTATATATTATAAAGATTAAACATAGACAAGTATTATATGTTCATGAATTATATATATAAATACATGTTTTTTTTGTTTTTTTTTTTTCTTTTATATATATATATATATATTTTTTAAAATACTTTACTAACAAACCATTATAGGTTCATAAATTATATATTATAAAGATTCAACATAGAAAAGTATTATATTATATATTATAAAGATTGAAGATAGAAAAGTATTATATGTTCATAAATTATATATATATAAATACATGTTTTTTTTTTCTTTTATATATATATTTTTCAAAAATACATTACTAACGAACAATTATAGGTTCATAAATTATATATATATGAATACATGTTTTTTTTCCTTATATATATATAATAATATTATCAGGATTAAAATAGACAAGTAATTATAAATTTTAGTTTAAATATATTTAAAGAATTTTATATATTGTTAGTCATAAATTATATTCTATAGACAAATAATTATAAATTTTAGTTTAAATTGAAAAATACATTACTAGCAAATCATTATAGGTTCATAAATTATATATATATAAATACATGTTTTTTTTTCCTTATATATATACTATAATATTATAAGGATTAAAGATAGACAAGTAATTATAAATTTTAATTTAAATATATTTAAAGAATTTTATACCGCTAGTTCAATGTTCATAAATTATATTCTATAGACAAATAATTCTAAATTTTAGTTTAAATGGAAAAATACATTACTAACAAATAATTATAGGTTCATAAATTATATATATATAAATACATGTTTTTTTTTCTTTTATATATATTATAATATTGTCAGGATTAAAGATAGACAAGTAATTATAAATTTTAGTTTAAATATATTTAAAGAATTTTATACATGCTAGTTCCATGTTCATAAATTATATTCTATAGACAAGTAATTCTGAATTTTAGTTTAAATATATTTAAAGATAAACCAATAATTTTATAGGGAATGCTCACAAAGTTTGTTTTAATATATTTATTTTCTATTTGTTGCAAAGTTATTATATTTTTAAATTTTAGTTTAAATATATTTAAAGATAAACAGTAATTCTAAATTCAAATGTATTTATTTTCTATTTGTAGTAATATTATTATATCATAATTTATATTTATATATATTATTTTTCTAATAGTTTAAGGTTATCCATCCTTATCAAATCAACGTATAAGTAAACATATTTCAACTAAAATATTTTTATATGTTTTTTTTTGTTATATATACTATCTTTAAATTAATCATTTTACCTCTTTTCAAGAAATGTCCAGCATTCTTTAGTTTTATGACATGTTGAACTATGTAATATGTCACAATTTTCACTCGAACTATGTTAATATGTTAAAATTTTCACTCGTTGTTTTTTATTAAATTTGTTTTTTTTTTTTTTTTAATAATTATGGATTGATTTGTGTTTGTTGGTAAATTTTTAATATATTTTATATAAGATTGTATCGGAATAATTATAAATTGTGGATAAATAAAACTTAAAAAAAAAATTTAACAACCCAACCCGAACTCAACAAAAAATAGAGGGTTTGGTTGGGTCGGGTTGTGAAAAGTTTCGGGTTGGGTTGGGCTACCAATCCAACCAACTCGAACTTTTGGGTTGGGTCAAAAAAATCGCTCAACCCAACCCAACCCAACCCGGACCATGTACACCCCTACTTTTTTTTCTTTTTCTTTTAAGAGATCCTTATCAAAAAAAATAAAAAATAAATAAATAAAAAAAAAATAAAAAAAATAAATAATTTATAGTATCTGCTTCAGTTCTGGATAACAAACACGGGCAAGAGATCTGATATGCACTCGCAGAGAGGTCTTGCCTATATATTTTTTAATCGTGTATCATATTCTGACAACACTTGTTACAATCGCATTTTGATTGTAGCGGATTTGCGATTGTGCAGTACTCACTTCTTAGCAACAAGTAAGTTAAGCCTATTCGTTCTCGCGTCGCCTATGGCCAAGCAACGTATGCTCGAGCCTCTGGCCCCAGTTCAAGAATAAAGTTTTAGAAAACGGGAGCAAAGAGATTTCGAAATAAAGTTTTGAAAGCAAATTTTGAGAAATTGAAATTAGTGTTATATGAGAATGTAAGCAAAAAGCAACAACAACGGCTTATATACTATCAAGTAGGGATATGACTAAAGTTAATTGATTAAAAATATAATAAATATAAAAGATTTTCATTTAGAATCGAGTCTCCACCTGTACCCACCTCTAATGGTTGAGAAATATTTTTGTTCGTAAATATTATGTTAATTTTTTATTTACAGTTTGTTTAATAAAAATATATTATAAAACAGAAATTATGCTAATTAATTTTGTGCTAATTAGTTTCGCGGAAATAATTAGGACAATTTAAAAAAAAACCTTATGCTAATTAATTTGGCAGGAATAATTTATTTGTTGCCTTTTACTTACCTTCATTCCCATATAACATAAATTTCAATTTCTCAAATTTTGCTTTCGAAAATATGTTGCTTGATCGTAAGCGACACAATAATAAATAGATTTAACTCAGTTGCTGAGAAGTGCGTGTTGCACAATTGCAAGTCCGCTGCTATCAAAGTACCATTGTGACACGAACACGACTCTCTACAATTATATGAAATTGTTCACTTTGAGCATAAGCTCCTGTGGCTTTGTTTTGGGTTTACCAAAACGCCTCATACAAATAGAGATAGTATTCTTTATATATGGTTCCGTTGTCGGGACATGAACGCGAGTCTTTCGGGTGAGAGCTGAATATCCTAACTAACTAATTAACAGAACCAACGGAACCATGTGGGTTATAATGTCAGGGTCTCAGTAGTTCAATTTTGAAATTAATTTAAACTTTGGGACTAAAAGTGTAATTAACGAAAGTTTCAATCATCACTATTTCCCTCGTATTTCCCACCGGTGGAGAACTGGTTTCAGAAACAGTGTGTACAGAGAGATCGTCGTTTTCTTGGGGTCCCTTTCAAGTCGAAGAAACGATTGCAGCTTCTCATCTTTCACCAGAAGCCTAAAATGGTATAAATCTGAACGAGCATTGGCCAGAATCTTGCCACAACGCCCCAATGCACACCAGCCACAGATATTACACGCTTTAAGCTCTCAAATGGCGAGCCCCACCTGCCGTGATTTTAGATTTTTGATTCCGCTTGCAAGAATTTTACAGTTTACTCAACGTCTTAATTCTTTAGTATCTAGAACATTGTAGCATAATCTTTTCCCTTCTCGATGATTTCCTCGCCCAGCGGCATTGCGCCGTCGCATAAGACAGAGCTTTATGCCCTTACTGCTAATTCGGCTTTTGTTCCTCTGAGGAGAGCATTTCAACATAGTAAGATTCATAGCTTACTTTTTTTTGCTCAGTGTTTCTAGTTGCGGATTCTAAGTACTGAATTGTTTGAGTTTGGGTTTCTTCTCGGAGGAAGCAAATGTGTTATGAACAGGAGAAGTTTTGCCTTTAGGGGAATTGTGGCTTCTGGAGTTTCAGTTATGGGCTCTTCTGTGGTTATGCAGCCTGCTCAAGGTCAGAATCTTTTATGTGTGTGTGTATATATTTGACCTCTTTAATGGGGTTTGCTAGTGAGTTATTCAATGCAGCTTGGCTAAGTCTTGCTATAATATTTCTGTAGGGATTGAAAGATTGCCTTTCAAACCAGAAGGTTATAATTTCTGGACGTGGCGGGGTCACAAGATACATTATGTTGTACAAGGGGAAGGTCCTCCAATAGTTCTTATTCATGGTTTTGGTGCTTCTGTATTTCATTGGAGGTTTGATTTAGTTGCCTTTTCTCCTTAATCGTTGTACTTTAATGAATGAGTTGAAAAACTATTAAGTTCTCTCAAGTTTTTGGTATTAGATCATAAGTTCAAATTCTATATCTTTTTATTTCTACTTCATATTAATAATCAAGGCATTGGAAGTTTGGTTCAAATTCTATATCTTTTTATTTCTACTTCATATTAATAATCAAGGCATTGGAAGTTTGGATTATGATTAATATTTGAGTTCACGTGTTAACAAATGGAATGAATCAAAGAACTTGAACTTCTGAGTCTTGTGGCAACTTAACTGATCCTTGTTGTTGATAAATTGAGTGATTCCTCTTGGGCAATGGAGCGTGCTGCTTATTTATTTATAGCTTATTCAATTGTTATATATATATATACATGGTAAAAGTATATATGTGGTCTAAATGACTATTTATAGTAAAAAGTTGGTAGAGCTATATATATATATATGTATGGTAGATAGTTATATATGGTCGATGGTTATATTGGTAAAACTATATATATATATACCACTTACGCAGTGCTTTGAAACTTTCCATATTCTCTTTTACTTTACATACCGAAGTCATCGATATAAACCTTTAGTCAATGTTCCTCTTTGCATTTCTCTCTCTTGTTCTTTGTGTTCATCTAGATTGAGTGTTTGCATTGTTGTGCCATCCTAACACTTCCTTATCTTTTTATGGTTTTTTTCCCCTAAATGAAGGTATAACATACCAGAGCTGGCTAAAAAGTACAAGGTTTATGCCTTAGACTTGCTGGGATTTGGGTGGAGTGATAAAGCAATTATTGAGTACGATGCCATGGTCTGGAGGGACCAAGTTGTCGATTTTATGAAGGAAATAGTGAAACAGCCCGCAGTTTTAGTTGGGAACAGGTAATAAAATGGACTGAATATAAGTTTAAAGGACTTAGCTCTATAAACTTGTGTACTCGAAATCTTTATCATCATTACATTTTGATATTTATGTTGCTTGTCCACATTCACACTTTCTTCTTCTTCTATCAAACTACTTAACTTTTTAGTACTTGAAGTTGAACTCGTGTCTGTACATCTCCTTATGTTTTGAGAGATATATTGAAACGATCTTAGTGAAAGCTCGGTTTCTCGAAAAAGAATGTAATGGTAAAATAGGTGTCCTAGTTCCTTTTTCGAACTACTCTTTGGAAGGTTTTTTTGGATGGCTTTATAGGTTAAGTTCGTTGTACAAAAGGCCACTTTCAAATACACGATTTTGACACAAAGAACTTTACTTTGTTTTTATAACAGCCCAAGCCCACTGCTAACAGATATTGTCCGTTTTGGTCCATTAGGTATCACCGCCAGCCTCACGGTTTTAAAACGGGTCTGTTAGGGAGAGGTTTCCAAACCCTTATGAGCAATATCTCGTTCCTTTCTCCAACCAATGTGGGATCTCACAATCCACCCCCATGGGGACCCAGCGTCCTCGCTGGCACACTGCCTGGTGTCTAGCTTTAACACCATTTATAACAGTCCAAGCCCATCGCTTATAGATATTGTCCACTTTGGCTCGTTACGTATCGCCGTCAGCCTCACGGTTTTAAAACGCATCTGTTAGGGGGAGAGGTTTCCACACCCTTATAAGTAATGTCTTGTTTCTCTCTCCAGCCGACGTGGGATCTCACAGTTTTAAAACATGAGTCATTCGTAAAAGCAAACTAAAGGATCTCACAGTTTTATCCAAAGGTATTATTTATATGCCTGTGATTTTGTCAAGATGGCACCATCAGGTGTTTTATTTATCATTTCAGTGTCTCTTTGCCTGCATGTTTCAAAATGTGATACCCATTTTTTTTTGGATAAAAAGCATGTGTTCTAAGTTGCCTGCACTCCCTTGTAGAGTCTACTTCAACTTATGTCTCAACTCGACTTTTCTTGGATTAACTAATTGGCCTTATTTTGCGAGTCTTAACCTATTACTGTAATTCTATTGTTTCCTCATATTTCAGTATGGTTTGTTTTAGATGTTATAATCTACGGTTACAATGGCAAAGCAAAAGCCAAAAGTTTGTCCATGTTGGTTGTCAGTAGTGGTGGCTGGAGCAGGACTAGGCTTTTGATTCAAACTGATTCTTGATGTTGCATTGAAGTGACTAATTAATGGTTTTTGGCAGCCTCGGAGGATTTACCGCCTTGGTTTCAGCAGCAGGGTCGCCAGAGCAAGTTCGCGGAGTCGTATTACTAAACTCCGCCGGGCAGTTCGGAGACACAAATAAGTCGACAGATGAGCCAGAAGAAGAAACAAGCTTTCAGAAATTCCTCTTGAAGCCACTGAAAGATTTTTTTCAGCGGATCTTTCTTGGAGTTCTTTTCTGGCAAACTAAGCAACCAGCTAGAATTGTTTCTGTTTTGAAGAGTGTAAGTGGTGGCTAAACTCTTTGTTGTCTCAAATGGTGATCCACTTTGCGAAATGCGCATTTCAGGTCGTCCTGTGTCACGGTCATGCTTGAAAGTGCGATTGTGACACCCTGCTCGAATATCTTGTAATTCATCTTGGTAGCCCTTACAGGTGTACATAAATTCTGAAAATGTGGATGACTATCTGGTAGAGTCTATATCAAGGCCAGCAGCCGACCCGAATGCTAGAGAAGTTTATTACAGGTATGTGTGTTACTTCCCCGTAGTTGGAAAAGGGGAAGTATTAGAAATATACATAAAAGATTGACATACTCTTACCTATCAACTTAGTTTTTTAAAATTCGTGATAGTCTAATACATAAATCAGTGGATCATACTCTTACCTATCAAGTTAGGCTTTTGAAACTCGTGATAGTTTAACACATGGATCAGTGGATCATAGTCGTTGCTCGGAACATGAAGTTTGTCGATTTTTGGTGCAGATTGATGACGAGATTCATGTTCAATCAAAGCAAATATACACTAAACAGTGTGCTGAGTGAGCTGTGTTGCCCATTGTTGTTGCTGTGGGGTGACTTAGATCCATGGGTTGGACCTGCTAAGGCCAACAGAATCAAAGAGTTCTATCCCAACACAAGTGTTGTACATTTGAAAGCAGGCCATTGCCCACATGATGAAGTTCCAGAGCTTGTCAACTCAGCTTTGATGGATTGGCTGGCAACCCTGCAACAAGCTCAGCCAACACTCTGAAAAACTCTTCTCAAAATTTTACTGTCACTTGTGAATCTTCACTCCATTTTGAGATTTATGTATACTTTTCAAATGAAATTAATTTTTATTAAATTTGAAATATTTTGTTATTTTAGGAAAAGATATAATATAAAGTGAATATATTTTCATCTCGGGATAAGCTGTTATTGTGTCATAAGCAAATGTGGCAACTTGGTAACTCCTCCGGTTCTATTTTGTGGCGCGAAACTATTTCGAGGTCATGAGATCGCGCTCCTCCTCCTCCTTTCGAGGTCATGAGATCACGCTCCTCCTCCTCTCTTTTGTTTATTTCTTCTTTTTCGAGTGAATTTGAGAGAAGGTCCGAAAAGGGTATCTAGATCATCTTTCTTTTAAAAAACTTAATCTAAAATACTAGAAGATAGCATTTTAACCTAAAAGTAAATTAAAATAAAAATATTAGTCCTTAAACTAAAAAAAATTCAAATTTTTTATTGTATGCCTAATAATCTTTTTGACAATATTTAAAAAGTAATTGATCAATTAAAAATAAATTTAAATTTTATGCATCGATAAAATTTTAAACTTAGAAAATAAATAATTGTTTTTTTATAAAAACAACTTGAAGGATAAGGAGCACAAATTTGGAAAATTAAAATTTAATTGGACATACAAATTAAAAAAATAAAAAATTTATTAAATTAATTAAAGTTTTAACACCGTAAAACTTGTAGTTTAACCTAAAAACAATAAATGGAAAGAAAAAAAAGAAAAAAAAAAAAGTGCGTCGGTTGAGCCGGAACTGACTCTTTAACTTACTTCAAGGCCTTCGATTCGCCTTTTCTATCCCGTTGGTTGCGTCGGAGCCGTCACTGATCGGAAACCATCTCCGAGAGTCCAGAGATATGTGGGCTTCAGAATCCGCACTCTCGCGCTATCAGTGAGCGGTATTGCTTAGTTTCTACAATATCTCTCTACATTTTTCTCAATTTTCTCCCTTCTTAATGTGTGTTGCTACGCTTGAAGAGGCCAGCTGATGTAATCTCCTCCGTGTCCGAGCGATCAGAAGCTGTTGATCCTATCTTAGAGAGGCTCAAGTCACTGGAAATCGTAAGCTCATTTGTTATCTCTCTTTTCGTTTGAGACTTGGAGATTATTTACACCTAATTTCTTTGAGTTTGTCGAACTTGGATCTGAATTTAGAATTTCATTTGGATTATTTCGTATTATAGACAACACCGATATTGCAGTCACCTCCTACGGAAGGTAGTCTGACAGATATCTTAGTAAGAAAACCTCCCTCTTCTTCAAGTGCTGGTAGGATTTTTAGGATTGAACTCATTGTTTGTTTAGTTTAAGTTTGGGTTAAGATTGGATTTCTTATTATTTTTTCTATACTGTTTTGGTAATTATGAGTTGTTAGAATTTTCAAACTACGCTTCATATCTCCTTCGGGAGTATTTTAAGCATAATTGATTTAATCATTTACGTGTGGTTTGCATTCCTTGATGTACCAATCACATTTGAAACACTTCAATTTCCTTAATATTCTGATTACTTATGAAGTACAGAAGCTTCAATTTGGATAATGTGTCCATGTCTTACATGTGTAGGCCACTTGTTGAGCACAATATACATATGTTTGGTACTAGTTGAACAAATTGAGTACAATTTTGACATGTTCGACATGTTTGAAACCTTTGTTAAGCACAATAAACATGTATCGAATGAGTATTTTGAAAGTGAAATACATGTCAATTAATAGCATTGTTGACTTAAAAATTTCCTTTTCATTAAGATATTAAAGAATTAGAAAGTTGATAAGTTGGTTGAATTCTATTTTGAATATTTTTACATAAAACATCATATAATAGTTAATAAATGCACAAGCATCCTAAAATAAAACCTTTTTTTAGCACTAGAGTGATTTAGATGTACATATATATTTTTAAAAAATGTATATTATAATAATCATGTCGTTACCATGCATGATAGTCACCTATTTAGGATTTAATATCGTACAAGTTTTCTTGGTATCCAATGTTGTACGGTCTGGTGGGTTCTCTTGTGAAATTAGTCAAGATGTGTGCAAGTTGGCTAAACACTCACAGATATAAAAAAGAATAATAATAATCTCCTAGACTTTTTGAAGTTAACATGTCTTTATGTTTGTGCCATATGCGTGTTCATGCTTCATAGCTAATCACGATTTCATTATGTAGAATCAATTGTTAATTTTCTAGTTTAGGTTTCTTTCTAGTTTTATGACTCTCGTTGTAGCTTGGATATTGAGATTATTGAGACTATTGCTTAATTAGTTATTGTTATTGAAACAACCGAGCTTGGGAGACCGAGGAGACTGAGGCTTGAGTTGATGAAGAAGGAAACTATGCTCGGGATAGTTATAAGATAAATATTATAAAAAAAAAGGGCAAGGTCAACATAGGGGCAAAATGGTCCTACTCTTACTTGAGGGGTCTGGTTAGTTGGGTCATAACAAGAAAGAGAAAGAAAGAAGAGAGGAGAAAGAAGAAGTTAAGGCTTTTGGAAGAGAAGAAGAGCAGAGAAGCCGCCTGCCTCAAATCCGCCGTTGGAGATCGAATCCTAGGCAAGAAACTTCGAATCAAGACTTCTCTCGGTGCTGGAGGAAGAGTTTGGGTGGTGGATTCACCCATTCCGGTAAGAAAATCCAAGAATGAACAAGGTAAGGTTCCGAACTTTTCGTTTCAATTTTACCTAGATCTGAGGAATTTCTTGAGTGATAGATCTGGAGTTTTTGAGGTATGGAACTAAAATAGGATACATACAGGTTTCTTGAAGGATTTCTGGACGACAGTCGTAGTTTAATTAGAGTTCGGATTAACCATTCAAAAACAAAAAACGTGAATTTTTTTGTATCTTTGGACGGCTGTAATTCATTTTGTATTCAATAAACAAATAAAGGAAAAATACATGGTAGGAGTAGAATATGAGATCTACAATGTTCGTGCGGAAACTTAGTTGATTTGGATTACAGATTGGAAGATTAAAAAATCGGAAGAAAATAGAACGAAAATGCGAAAACCTAACGATCTGGAAATTGAAAACATGTAGGAGGAGAGAGAATCGCTGCTGCACGTCACCCAACGAACGGAGGAGTAGGGTAGAGCCGGCAAGCGACACATGGCAGCATTCCGCTAGAGTAGCGCGTTCGGCCAGCCTGTTGACATGCGTCAGAGCGCGCGGATTCGGGTCGACCCGGAACACCAGCCAAACCGATCTGACGACCAGCAGTCCAACCCGACGATCTCGCCACTCATTGTGCGCCATGTGTCAACCCCACAAAATACAAAGGGTAAGCCTCCATCCGTTGGGGCTCGAAGCGCATCACTGCCCGCGCGTGTGCCTTGCGCGTGGGGAAAACCTGCCGATGCGTAGAACCCCATATTTTCACCACTTCGGCCTCCGTTTGTTTGTTTTTTGTCCTGATTTCGATACTGACCTTATTGTTATGTGAATTAGGACCTATCAAGGAAATTTCAGAATTTTTGGAACCTTCTTCATCAAGAAATTCGAGCTTGGAAAAACACGCGTCAACCAAGTAAGTAGCCATTTGGATTCCCATGAGCAATACTTATAGGAACCGCTTGGAATAAGCATGCATGTGTCAAATTCATAAACCTAGCTAGCCAAATCTAGTATATTAGTATAGAAACCATGGAAATGAATTAACTAAGGAAATCAATGGAATCTAGATATGAATGACTATGAAATCTGTTTAGACTGAGAATGTGATATTGTATGTATGCATGAGGAGGAAGGAAAATTGTGAAATCTACGCTTAGGGTGAAAATGGACGTTATCTACCCGTTGAACATGCTTGTTAATATTGCATGGATTATTGCATGTTAACTCCAGTGCATGATTGCTTGTATTATCTTTTTTGTTGAATAGGAAGAAACTACGAGCTTAGATTAGGGCGCTTGAGACTAAGCAGGCTAGGCAAAACTCTAGAATGGGATACCTCTAAAATATCATGCATTTAGGCTCGCGAAGCGATTACCAGCGGACCCAGACCCCAATATTCCTGACCACGATAGGTTTGTGAGACATTGCGCGAGAATCCTAGAGATGAATGAATTCAAGTTTAAGCCACCAAGATCTGCCCTAGAAAGACTTGTAGGACACCATGGTAACTGTAGGTAGCCCACCAGAGTTGAGCAGTGTGAATAGCCTCCACTTCCCTCTTTGTTCTGGTACCATACCGTCGAGACAGAACTCCGATACTGAGATTGTTGAGCTAGCTAGGCAGAGCCGGACAGGGAAGTGTGACCTGTGCCCCGACCTAGTGGTGGTAGTTAAGGGGTTTTCTGAACAGGACCCTTGGGTCGTAGAAACCTGTCCCTGAGCGGGGGAGTGCGGAACTACGTAGGGTGACTTAGTAGCTAACTGGCACACAAGGGTTCGCAACCCCCAGTTTTAGTGGAAGTATGGTCCCGCTGGAGGGTTGTCAGCTAACCTCCATGGATGATTTTCAGAGAAAGTTACTTATGCAGATCCAATCATACTGCCCCTCAATTTTACTTGTGAGGTCGCGTCTCACCTCAAGACACTGATCATCCACTACATAAGATGGGCAAGCCTCCTAAGCTATAAAAGAGAGAGTTGCAGTTTAGTTCGTAGTCCCTAGAACCCCGAGACAAGGCCGTGGATATCTACTAAGATAAGGATGCGAGAAGAGCCTACAAGTAGCTGCTTATTGAGTACTTTTATACTCATTCTTTTCTACTTTTTTTTTTTTCTTCAGGTGAGTGATGCCATGGTTCGAGGCAGGAACGCGTGCGGAATCTTAAAGCCACAAAGGAGTGTCCCGGGGTGTCTAGGAGTCTGTACATGTTCATGTTTAGATATGTGATACGTTTTTGTAATTCATACACTTACTTTTTCATGAAACACATGACATTAACTCTTCGGCGTAATTGTTAAAATATTTCTATAATTTCTTATTGTCTATCACATTTTACACGTTTTGATGGCATAGTCTGTTAGTCCAGCCCTTAATTTCGAGTCTCAAATTTTGGGCTGTGACAGTTTAGTATCAGAGCTCCAGTTTTAGGTCCTATAGACATTAGGGTATAGAGTCTAGTATCTCTATGGCTTAAGCTTCCAACATGCCCTGCCGTGACTTGGTAAGTTCATTGATACTTGAAAGGTAGGAAAAATTGAGTTATATGTTTATGGGACTCAAGTTGAGGGTTACAAATAATAATGATTGTGCTCCTTTTGATTAGGCACAATAAAGACATGGTATTGACTCTCAGTCCCTGTCTGTTGACAGATAATGGCGCTTAAGAGGAGAGGAGCCTATCTCAGACTTGGTCCTAGGAGGGGCAGGAGAAGGGTCGAAGAGGACCCAACTATTCCTATCCCCGAGGTGGAGCAGCGCCCACCCCTGGAGGAAACCAGAGAGCTAACCTCAGATGAGGAACAGGCGCCGCCACAGACACCCACACCGAGGAGAGGCCGAAGAAAGACCGAGCTTCGGGCTATTCAAGAGACTGTTCCTCAGGACCCGGCGCCTAGAGGGACTCCACCAGCGCCAGCACTGATTCCTGAGGAGGTGCCTGCCCAGCCGTCAACGACCTTTACACGGGATGTGTTACAAGTATTCATGAGAACCTCTATGGAAAATCAGGCACAATTGACTCAGTTAATGCAGACACTAGTGGCCAATCAGGCTGCAATGCAGGGAACGAGAGATATGGGGATGACGGTAGAGTCTTGTTATTTTAGGGATTTTCAGTGGTATAACCCGACTTCTTTTAATGGAGACAAGGTGGACCATGCTGCAGCTGAGACCTGGTTGGAGGCTATAGAGGCGATCTTTCTATACATGAACTGTCCACCAGAATATCAAGTCCACTGTGGGACTTACATGCTGAAGGGCGAAGCCCATTTTTGGTGGAAAGGCGCCCGAAAAACTATTACTCCAGTGGGAGGTTATATTTCTTGGAATCAGTTCAAAGAAGCCTATTTGTGTAAATATTACCCAACGGTTGCCCGACTCAAGTGTCAGACAACATTCCTAAAATTGAAATAGGGGAACAAATCTATCGAGGAATATGATCTCGAGTTTAATAGGCTGACGAGGTTTTGCCCCGAGTATGTCGGCAATGACAAGATGAAGACTGATCGCTTCATCGCCGGTCTCTGGATAGAGATTCAGGGTCTAGTAGTGGCACAGATATCCTCGGCTTCTTCTGGCTTGTGGTCACAAAATTATACCTTTTTCCAGCTGTTTTTGTTTGATTGCATGACTTCTATAATACAGATAAACCAAATTTCAGAACTTCTGCTGAATCCTGTACTAAAGATGGCACTATTGCTAGTAAATGTTTTTTCTTTTCACTTTATGACTTCATCTAGAGCTCCCTTAAACAAGTGGAATTTGCTGCCCTCCTGATCGAGTTTGAAATGGGCAATGTTTGCCATATTCAATACCCTTCGATATACTTTTCTTATAATGATTTTTTTCCCCAAAATTTCTTGTATTTTTTCAGAGAAAAAAGTTTGTTGATGAATGAAATAAAGCGTGTTAATACACCGGATTCCATTAGTGTTTCAGAAAGGATGGGCAGTTGGAGAAGGACCTTAGATTTCACAGGGTAGAGACGAGTTTTGCAAGAATTGGGAGATCTTTTGTTTGTGGATGGGCATATAAGTGTAGTTTGATAGCTAGCTGAGACCCTTAAGGATGAGACAGTTTAATGCTCGGTCAATTTGGACAACCTTTTCAACTAGCAATATCTGTAATGATATTCATGTTAGTGCAAGGATATATGGGGTTTTGTCGTTGGTAGAGTTCTTTTTTTTTTTTTCCTGAGAGAAATGGATGAGTTTATGGGAAATGGTTGTATCAGCTTTAATGTGGAGTACTTTGTTGGGACGCAGTGCTTTTTTACTCTAACTAGGCTGAGCATTAATGAGAAATGAACTCTGTTATATCTAAACTACCACAATCTTCATTCTTCAATTACAGGTTGGTCCTAAAAACAGCGGCAGCAGGCGCGAAGAGGAGTTTGTGAAAAGAGCGGGGTCGATCCCACGTCTCATAGAGAGGAGGAATACCAAGTATGATAAGGGATAACTAACTCCACAGATTTTCTCGAAATTCAAACCTTGCCTGCGGAGGTTGGCTGTTCACAGGTATTTATCACACTGCAGCCTTATTAAGGTTCTTGCACTAGAAGAATTGGAAGGAGGATTGTTTTGCATGGAACTTGATTTGGTAATAATTTTTGCCACCGCCGATTCAGTGTCTTCCTGCAAGAACTCAAATTAGATCGATTCATCATTGGAAATCATGTTGTAATTCAGGAAAACAAAGCATTCCTTAGCCAATTCTTGAAACATTGGATATCAATCCCATCTTGTTCATATATATAATTGACATTCTTTTTCAGCATTCATCCAGATGTGGAAAACGTAGAAACTCAATCATTTTATAGTCAATTTTTGCTGTTGACAGCAAAAATTAAGCTGTTGAAAACAATGTACCACAGCAGTGTTCCAAAATCTAGGATAGTTGACCGTAGTAGCCCATTTGAAAGGAGTTGGCTCCCACTAAGATCACCACCTGCCGACCTGCCGCCCAGGCAGAGGCCACAGCCATAAGGACTTTCCTCTGGCCCTTTCATCACTAGGGGATTCTCCACCGACTTATAGCCTGAACACACCATGTGACCCATCTCAATAAATCATACTGATTGAAAGATAGTATTGTCGGTGATTCAATGAGCTCTACTTGGCCTGGATTTTGAAGTGTTCTTAATCTCGGTTTCAGATATGAGCATGTCTGAAACTCCATCGAGGAATTTTGGATTCATAAGCAGCACCCAGAAGAAAACATTGGTAATACATGTTGAAGATGAGAACACAGATCCAATAAACTGAATGTGGAAGAACTTCATATAGAAATAGCACAGAAGAAAACAGACAATGAATTCTACAAATCAAACTATATTCTCTGTTCAACAAGGATTGCATTTCAAGAACACTAGGATTGGGAAAATTGCAGGTGGTTGGATCTGGGTCGGCTCTATCTGATCTGAACCGATCAAGGTTGCTGCTGGGCATCCATGTAGCCAGCATCGACCAACACCTTCTCCCGCTTGGCTATTTCAATGTCTTCATCCACCATCATCTTCACCAGCTTCTCAAATCCAACCTTTGGTTTCCATCCCAATACCTTCCTCGCCTTGCTTGCATCCCCCTTGAGATTGTCGACCTCCGCCGGCCGGAAGTATCTCTTGTCGATCACCACATGGTCCTTCCAATTCAATCCGACATTCCCAAATGCGACCTCCAAAAACTCCTCCACTGTGTGTGATTCCTCCGTCGCAACCACGTAATCATCTGGTTGTTCTTGCTGTAGCATTAGCCACATGGCTTCCACGTAGTCCCCTGCAAAACCCCAATCCCTCGACGCCTGCAGATTCCCCAAGAACAACTTGCTTTGCAGCCCAATCTTGATGCGCCCTACAGCCCGTGTGATTTTCCTTGTCACGAAATTCTCTCCCCTGCGCGGCGATTCGTGGTTGAATAGTATTCCATTACAAGCGAAGATCCCGTAGGCCTCACGGTAATTCACGGTATACCAATGCGCGGCGCACTTCGCTGCAGCGTAAGGGGATCGAGGATGAAATGGAGTCGTCTCCGACTGAGGCGGCGGCGTGGACCCGAACATTTCAGACGATCCCGCTTGGTAGTACCGAATTTGAGTACGGCCAGTGGCAGAGATATGAGATCGAACCGCCTCAAGCAGACGGAGGGCACCAGTGGCAACAACGTCGGCAGTATAATCCGGAATTTCGAAAGAAACAGCAACATGCGATTGAGCAGCGAGGTTATAGACCTCATCTGGTTGGATGATATCGAGCCATCGGCGGAGAGAGGAGGCGTCGGTGAGGTCAGCGTAGTGAAGCTTCATTCGTGCCTTGTGAACATTGTGAGGGTCGATGTAGATGTGGTTGATTCGCTGAGTGTTGAAGTTGGAAGATCGCCGGATCAATCCATGGACTTCATAGCCCTTCTCGAGAAGAAACTCGGTCAGGTACGAACCATCCTGGCCAGTAATGCCAGTAATTAAGGCCGTCCGGCGCTTCTCCGCCGGTGCGCCGTTAGTGTCGGAAGAGGATCTGGTGGCGTCGGCGATGGATGCCATTGGAATCAACCCGATTGATCAGTCGGATCTGAGAGAAATCGAAAGAAAAGTAATGTGGGAGAAGAAAGGGGAGAGGGAGAAGGTTATTTATAATAGCCGCGTTTTGGAGAATCCATTCTGATTAGCCAATCAAAACGTGCCACGTAAGATACATGGAGGGCAATATGGTCTTTCACTTTTTTTATAATTTTTTTTTTCCATTCGTGGCTTTTGAATCTTAAGGTCAGTGACGTGAACTTGGGTGACATTTTTTTAAAACCAAATTAATTTTACTAAATAATGAATTCATCTATTTAATTTTTTTTTTGTTTCCATTTAAAGAAAATGTTAATAATTAAAACATATAATTATTTATTATCTAAGAATTACTCATTAATTTCAATATATATTTTGAAAAATTTTACCACTAAATTTAATTTATATTTTAACGAGCGAAAAAATATAGGTTGATTTATTTAGGTTTTTTATATCACTATTTTTTTATCAGAAGGTCAAGCCCCTATTTCAATAGACTTGGTGCATTATGTTTTTAAATGTTGCTTCGACGTTAGTTTACTATGTTTACATTTGACGAACCAATTTGCATTCTTGCGTAACTCGATTTCGTTGACTTTATTGGTTTTGATTATGCCGATTACAAGTTGAGTAAATTATCTTTTTTGGTCCTTTGAGTTCTGTTCATTTAGTTTTTAGGTCTCAAAATTTTACCGACAAGTTACCAAACCAAAAATATACCTATGTATTTTCTAGTACAACATACGTAAAGTTTTGATCAAAAGTTTCGATCAAATTGAACAGATAAATCATAAATAATAATATTGATCAAAAAGTCAGATGTTCGACTTTCTACTTTATGGGTGCAAACAATTCAAACCATATCGGCGTGAGCGTTAATGTTGTCGCATTTAAAAAGGCAATAATTCAATGGCATAAATCATGGAACTGCAGAAAAATCTTAGGTCACTGAAACAGAGTAGCTATAGCCAAACCCTACTTGAACACTTCGACTTGCCCAAAGGCCAAATGGATTAAATGCTTCATCAGTAGAGCATGGAAATTCATGAGAGAAGTTAAGCAATCCGCTTGATTATGTGAACTCCACTGTCAGTATCCACAATGTCGCTTACCTCTCCAACCTTGAGGGCAAATGTTGCTTCTTCAAAAGGCTTCTGCATCTGGCCACGCCCGAAAGGACCTGCAATAACATTATTGTGTTGGCTCATTCAGATGCTGTGTATTTCATGCTAATCCACGCACAAACAATTGCTAGTATAAAATGTCAGCTAATAACGAATAGAACATCCCAGCATATCCTTCTGATCCTAGAAATTGTCTAAAAAACTGCTATTGAACTACCAAATTGTAACCATCCAGACCCACTACTAGCAGATATTGTCCTCTTTGGGCTTTCCCTTTCGAGCTTCCTCTCAAGGATAGAAGAAGGTTTCCACACCCTTATAAATGGTGTTTTGTTCTCCTCCCCAACTAATGTGGGACATCACAAACTACCCCCCCTTCGGGGTCCAGCGTCCTCGCTGGCACTCGTTCCTTTATCTAATCGATGTGGGACCGCCACCAAATCCATCCCATTCGGGGCCCAGTGTCCTTACTGGCACACCGCCTCGTGTCTACCCCACTTCGGGGAATAGCCTCCTCGTTGGCACATAGTCCGATGTCTGGCTCTGATACCATTTGTAACGACCCATGCCCACCGTTAGTAGATATTGTCCTCTTTGGGCTCTCCCTTTCGGGCTTCTCCTCGAGGCTTTAAAACGCGTCTGCTAGGAGAAGGTTTCCACACCCATATAATTAGTGTTTTGTTCTCCTCTCCAACCAATATGGGACATCACACAAACACAATTACTCTTTACTCTTTGGGAGAGTATCAACTGGGCTTGCAAGATGAGTACATAACTACAAATTTCTAGCAGACAAAACCAAGGGTGGAGCGGAAAAGGAGGGGGAGGCAGTAGTCCCCCTCAATGCTCATCTTATATTGTAAAAGTTAACAAAAGATTTTAAAGTTTTCTCCTTAATCTGTTCTAACTGAAAGATTATAAATATGAAGGGGGAAAAAAAAAGGAGGTAAAAGACTATGGCTCCGGTAAAACTAACTTGAAATATACAGTTCAGAGGGGGAAAATAGACTACAAGATTAAATAGAACCAATTATACAGTTCAGATGATGTACCAGTTTATGGTGGAATGCTAGTAACGGGTAAAAGTATTAGCCGG